CTCCTCCGACAACAACCACCACTGCCCCACTGACCACCACCACGGCTCTTCCCACAACAACCACCACTGCCCCACCGACCACCACCACAGCTCCTCCCACAACAACCACCACTGCCCCGCCGACCACCACCACCACCACGGTTCCTCTGACAACAACCACCACAACGGTTCCTTCAACAACAACAACCACGGCTACTCTGACAACAACAACCACCAGATATGTTGTTTTCAGATCCCTTCAAACAATTTTACCAAGGACTTGTCGAATTCATCATCTGATGCTTTTAAAGACCGATCTGTATCTATAAAGAAACAGGTAATCTTTTACTTTTCCCACTAATATATAGCATTTATTAGGTATGTAATTAGTTTTTTTTCAATCGTCCGAGGCAAATCTGCTTCCCACTATGTGGAAAGCAGAATGAATGCTGTGTGCTCTGTAAACAGAATAGACATTAAAACACCAAATACTCAGTGAAATGTTTAAAAAAATGAATTGCAGATTGCTGATCTAGAGAGAGAGGTGAAAACATTAGACATCAGGAATATACAAAATTGATAGAGCAAGTACTTTTTTTTGTACTGAACCATCATTGCTACTCACTATAGAGGTCATGTTCTTTGATTTGCCCTTTAATTAGTCTTCTGTCTTACTGTAAAGTTTACAATTTATATAAAATTCATCTGTTTGTGTACATTAAGAAACAGATAGACATTGTTTTAAGGAAATCTGCTTTTTGTCTGCAGATTGAACCTGCTTACAAAAACTTGTTCCCTTCTTCCTTTGTCTCCTTGGCCGTTGTGAGCTTCAGGTAATTTCAGTATTTTGACATATAATGTTAAGAGCACTGACCTAATGCCCTAAATATTCAAAACTATCATTTTTGTGTCTGCATTTACAGGCAAGGATCAGTCATCAACACCACAGAACTTCATTTTTTAAACTCATCTGTTCCAAATGACACTGAAATTAGAAGTGTTTTGATCAGTCAAGCCTCAAACGTGACAGGCTTTGACATCGAAAGGGCCCCCATCACTGTCAGTGCAACATGTGAGTAACATTTCGTTATGTTTGATCAAAAAGTCTCAAAGGTTTTAGAGGGACTTAGTTAAATGTTTTATGTCCATTTTGTCCTCATTTTAAATCTACCACAGTGATCCCAACAACTACCACAGTTACCCCAACAACAAACACAACACCATCAACTACATCTGCTGCAACAACAACAACATCTGCTCCAACAACTACCACAGTTACCCCAACCACAAACACAATACCATCAACTACTACATCTGCTGCAACAACAACAACATCTTCTCCAACAACTATCACAATTAAAAAAGCTCCGACTGCACCTGTCCAAGTTTTTCTGCTTCTACAGTTCCTTGAACAATATGTACCTGAACTCACAGACCC